AATCTGTCTTTTAGGGATGCAAAAATTTGCTTTTCCTCTATATCTAACTCAGTAAGTCTATTGATATTGACGTTGTAAAGTCTGTCCTTTATAATCTGAGCACAGATAAATTAATACAGGATATTTAAAGACCACAGTGGTTCTTCCATTATTAGCTTCTCTGGCTTTCAAACTAGTAATCTAGAAATGAGGAAACATGTGTTGGTGCTAGCTCAGAATACCCTGAAACACATTATTATAGCTTGTTCCATGGGCTTGAAAAGGAAAACAAAATTATTTGTTATGACTAATGCTTATTACATGTTACACAATGAAAATATCTTCTGTAGTGTAATATTTAGTAGAATCTCAAACTTTCCTGAAAGAAAATTACCGGATCTTGAAAAAGCTTTGTGAACTCTCAATTCTACAAACTACAGCAAATAGCTCTTACAGTCTAATGAGCTGATTGACATGGGTTGTTTTACTATGTGATCTAGATAAGAACATTAAAAAAAATCACTAGATCATTCAGAATGTTGTAAAGGACAATTCATAAAACAATAAAGTTGTTATTTTTCCACAGTATAGGAGACTGAAAAAAATGAAACAAGGAGACAATATTAATCTATCAGAATTTCTGAAGGTTTTAATGTCCCTGCTATTATTTTCGACTTTGAAAGAAACATTTTTATTTATTTATTTATTATTATTATTTTTTTTTTAAAAGATGACCGGTAAGCAGGTCTTAACCCTTGGCTTGGTATTGTCAGCACCACGCTCAGCCAGTGAGCCAACCGGTCATCCCTACGTAGGATCCGAACCCGTGGCCTTGGTGTTATCAGCACCGCACTCTCCTGAGTGAGCCACGGGCCAGCCCTGAAAGAAACATTTTTATTTATTTATTTATTATTATTATTTTTTTTTTAAAAGATGACCGGTAAGCAGGTCTTAACCCTTGGCTTGGGATTGTCAGCACCACGCTCAGCCAGTGAGCCAACCGGTCATCCCTACGTAGGATCCGAACCCGTGGCCTTGGTGTTATCAGCACCGCACTCTCCTGAGTGAGCCACGGGCCAGCCCTGAAAGAAACATTTTTATAAAAATGTTTTTTATTAGTGTAATTTATTTTTTAATTGAATTGTATTGATTGTTCGTATTTATGGGGTACAATGTTATATTTCAATACATGAATATAATGTGTAATGGTTAAATCAGAGTAGTTAGTGTATTTATCATCACAAAAATTTATCATTTGGGCTCCTCTCTTTTAGCCATTTGAGAATATACAATAAATTATTGTTAATTATATATGCCTAGCACTACTGTATACCACTAGAACTTTTACTTTTCTATCTTACCTGTAATTTCATGTCCATTAACCAACCTCTCCCTATCCCCTTTCTAGCTTCTAATAACCATAATTCTATGCTCCACTTCAAAAAACCTAATAAACCATATGTTCACCTGGTTCAAAAGCCATAAAGTATTAAAATTATAAGCTAAAATGTTCCCTCTCCTCTGCTCAGGTCTCATCACACTTCCTCCCAACCACCAACGCCTTAACTCAAAAGGCTCAGAGGCTTTTTTTGTAGCCTTACCATTTCTTAATGTATGTACAATCAAATATAAAATATGTTCTCTATCTCCCTCCATTTTCCTGCAGGCTACTTTTTTCACTTAGTACATCTTTCTGCACCGATATGTAGACAGCATGCTCATTCATTATATATTGGAATACTATGCCACTGAATGAATAGGCAAATTTTATTTAACAGTCCTCTATGGACAGACATTTCAATTGTTTACTGTCTTGATGTTACGAGCAATGGGCCTGACTAAAGTAGAACGTACATCATGTTGTTCTTGTGCTGATACATAGGACTAATTTCCCAAAATGGAACTTCTGAGTCAAAAAGCATATGCTTTTGCATTTTGATAGATATTGCAAAATTGCCATCCATAAGGGCTATACCAATTCATGCTCTTTACAGCAATATGAGTTCCATTCCCCCACAGCCAATAAAGCATGTTATCAAACACTGGATATTTCCTATTCTCTTAGGTGAAAAATGGTCTATCGGTATACTTTTAATTTGTACTTCTTATGAAGTTAAGAAATGTTTCACATATTTAACAGTAATTTGCTTCATTTTAAATAAACTACTTACATCCTTTTGATCAATTTCTAAAAATTCTCTATATGGTAGGGAGGTCCACCCTTTGCCTGAGTTGATACCCTTCCCTGCTCCCACCCAGTTTGTTGTTGTCTTCTGATTTTGCTTATGTTGTTTTCCCAGGCAGGAAGTTATTTTTTGTGGGTGGTTGAACTGAACCAATCTTTTCCTTAATGACTCTGCATATGAAGACTATCATTCATGCATATCTCCTCAATTAGTTAGAAGGTGTGAATGTTAACGAGACCATTTTCTATTGGGTGGAGGGGTGAGGGGGCTCATGCTTGCTTGTCTGAGGTAAGAACGATTTCCAAGGACCTTCTAAAAACCCATCTGGAATTCCTTCATGTCTTTCACGCATCTCCTGCTTTGCATGTATGCACATGTTTCTGTGACAAAGTAGTGTCCAGTAGACATTCTTTAGAACTGCAGTAATTCATGTAGAGGAATCTTGCCCAGTAAGGACATCTCAACAAATGAACCTGACTTTGAGGCTCTGCAACCAATGACCTGTTTCTAAGCAGTTTATGTGAACCTCTCCTGCCAGTAAAAGCTTTCCTACCCCTCCCTTACTGAACACTCTTGTGGCATGCCATGGCATGCATTCTGGATTATAATCCTATTTTCTATTCCTGAATAAACTCAATATATTTGGGGATATATTTCTTTAATGTGTTTTTCTACATTAACAAAAGTTAACTGCTAACAGGTACTTTGTCTTATGATGGGTTGTTCCCAATAAAGTCTTAACAGTGTGTCACTTAGAATTAGATTTGGTTAGCTGACACAGATGCCCAAAATAACAGGGACAGGAGTTATTTCCTCCTAATGTAAAAGCAATTTGGAAGCAGGCAGTCCACAGCTCCATGAAAACTAGTGGGCCAGGCTTCTTCCAGCTCTTGACTCTGCCACCCCAAGGGTTTTTGCCTTTCTGCTTATGGTCCAGGACAGCTGATAAATTTGAGATTACAGTCTTCCCATTCTTTCAGCATTAAAATGTCTATTCTTTTGTATGATGGTTAGAAAATGTGGTAGTTTCTTCCCTGTGTCCTTATTTGGCAAATAAAATATTGGCAAACTTATGTTGAGGTCCCTACCTTCCTCCATACATGTATCCATGCCCCATTCCAGACAAAGTTAAAGCAATTTTTAACTGGTCCATGAGATTCAAGCTTGAAAACCACTAGCTTTTTGTAAATATAGCATTCACATAGAAACTGGAACAATGAATTAGAGGCATAAATTAAATAGATGTAATAGTACCAACAGATTGAGTAACGTTAGAAATGTGACACGAAAGGGCCGGCCTGGTGGCGCACTGGTGCTCCCGCCGAGGGTTCAGATCCCACATACAGACCGGTTCCCGCTCACTGGCTGAGCGAGATGCGGGAGCAACACCGAGGGTTGCGATCCCGTTGCCGGTCCCGGTCTGGTACGGGCGTGACACTGAGGGTTGCGATCCGTTGCCGGACACGAAAAAAGACAAAAAAAGGAAAAAAAAAAAAAAGAAAAAAAAAGAAATGTGACACGAAAAAGGAATTTGGTAACTGTGTCTTAATCTCCCTTTCTGTAATGCAGAAATGATAGTATCCTCATAATATGCTGGAGCATTAAATGATTTCAATATTACTCTCAAAAGATACATAAATGTAACAATAATTAACATTGACTGCAGTATGGTGCACTGTGCTTATGATCAGGGATTTAGAAGCTACAAGGCCTGGGTTGAATCCTAGCTCTGCTATTTAGTGGTTGTGATTTCTGTGTGACTCTGTCTCAGTTTCCTCATTTGTAAAATGGGTATACAAATACTTACTTTAGAGCAGTGGTTCTTAATTAGGGCTGATTTTGTTCCCCAGGGGATATTTGGCAAAGTCTACAGACAATTTTGGTCATCACACTGCGGGGGTGGAGGGCAGGTGTGTGACTGGCACACAAAGGGAGATGTCAGAGATGCTGCTGAACACCCTACAATACACAGTGCAGTCCCCACAACACAGCCACCCAGCCCAAAATGTCAGTAGTGCCCAGGTTAAGAAACCCGACTGCATAAGATAGTTGGAATGACTTAAATGAGTTAATATGTACAAAGCAATTGGAACCCTAAGCAGTACTTAAGTGTTAGCTCCTATACGACCAAGCTTTGTACTAAGAGTTTTACATAATTTTTTGACTTAATTTATACAACCCATATTAAAAAGGAACCATTATTATCACTGTTTCGTAGGTGGGGAAATTGAAGTTTAGGACTGATTAAGTAGTTAACTTGCCCAAGGTCCCAGTTAATCAGTGATAGGGCTGGCACTCAAACACAGGTTTATGTGATACCAAAGCCCATGTTTTTAGCACTGCCTACACTGACCCCTAGATATTACATGTAAATTGGAAAGTATTAAAGGAAGTTTGCCTTAAGTCCCCCTCAAAATCCCTATAATACGCTGTCTCCCAGTAGCCTGGATCTGGATAATTCATCCCAAACTTTCATTTTCCTTCACTATCCAGTAGAACTAACTTTAACAAAGTTAATTCCCACTTTAGAAAGGTCTGTTTTAGAGATTCTTCTTTTTAAAGAATTAAAATGGACTTCCTTATAAATGTCACACACATTGCCATCCACCACAACTCCTTCACTTGTAACCTTGGAATGGTCACCATACTCTCAGGACAACAAGAACAAAATCATGGCACATGTTGCAACAGAGAATTTTTGGAGCAAGGACTACAGAAGACAGAGTGTGCACGATGTTGGAATTTAGGAGCATTTATGATGTGTGGGAAAAATTATTTGGAAGATTGACTGAAATCTTTCAGAAATCATTAAAGAAGGAATCCCAGAAATAGAAGCACACTACAATAGTTAGTTTTATTTGATTAAGGGCTCCTATTGCAAACATTAAACCAAGCATGGGTTTTAATTCTGTGAGCCCGAATTCACATATTAGCAAAGATAAAAGCAAACTGTGATCCACATACATGGACAAAAACTAAAGGCTCATGGTTAATCACATTGTAGTTTTTAAATTTCTACCAGCCTAGAACGCAATAGTCACAGGTCTTTCAGGTCCTTCTGGATGTCCCACAGGGTATCTGCACTTCTCTTGAGCTGAGCAACCTCATCATCCTTCAGCTTCTGGTTGATAACACTGGTTAATCCCCGAGCACTGAGGATACACGGAAGGCTCAGGAAGACTTCATTCTCAATGCCATACATCCCCTGCCAGAACAACAAAAGCATTTCGATTAAGACTTGACACCACAGTAAGAATAATCAAAGTCCTCTGTTTGTACAGAAAGAACTGTAGGAAATTTGATAAGCACAAGCTCATTCTCTAATGTAATTTTTACTACTTACAGGTCCATATTTCCCCAATACTTATGTTTTGATTTAGATTCTATTGTACCTAGAATACACAAACATACACTATGATAAAACCAGATATTTTACAAGAAAGTATGTACTTTACTGAATTTTATTGCATATGTATTTTATTGAGCATTTCTCTCTGCTTAGATACACTTTAATGAAATTTGATATTTGAGTCTTCAAATCAATTGTTTTCAGCTGTGGTTCTTAACTACTTCCCATGAAACTCTAAGTTGCTTAAAGGTTTTTAGTTAAGGAGGGAATTTCAGGTGGTAGCCGGCCTATGAGGTCCTGAGTAGTAGTTGGAGGCCACTTAAAAGGCAAGATTTCTGCAATATCCAAGGGTTGTTGAAAAAATAGTACAATTTCCAAAACACTTTATCAGTTTGGACAAGGTAAGTAATCAGATTATTTAAGTACATTAAACAAGTTCCTTAATATATGACTTCTAAAACTTTCAATTTCAAAAATTTTTATACATACCCCAAAGTAGTGAGAATAAACAAATTCCTACATATGTACCCTAAGACTCAGCAATTACCCAATTTTTGCCATTCTTGTTTTTTAAAACTTTTCTGTAGTATTTCAAAACAAATACTTGATTCCATGCTTTACCCCAAATACTTCTATATCTGTCTCTTGCACATTTCTTTCCATCTGCTACATTTGCCCTTTTACTTTTTCACCCTTGACACTGGCTTGTGAAAAATGAGTCCACCGTCTTACATAATGTTGCAATACAATTTTACTTTTGTTTTAAAAGATAATCAATTTCTATTTAACTGTTTTGTGTGTTTGCTTTATAGCTTTTTTTTTTTTTTGTCTTTTTCCGTGTCCGGCAACGGATCGCAACCCTCAGTGTTGCCCCCGTACCGGACCAGGGACCGGCAACGGGATCACAACCCTCCGTGTTGCTCCCGTGCCTCGCTCAGCCAGTGAGCGGGAACCGGTCTGTATGTGGGATCCGAACCCTCGGCGGGAGCGCCGCCGCGCTTCCCAAGCGGCGCACTATCCAGTGCGCCACCAGGCCGGCCCTATAGCTTTTGATTAAACTAAATTTACTATGGTATCAAGTGCTACATGAAAAGAACTATAATACTTATTCAAATGATCAAATACTTTAAGAATGTGCTGCATAAGATTCAGAGTTAATATTTAATTTGCTACATCATACAAGGGATAGTTATAAAAATTTATTGGATATCTTAGCTTCTACAAGTTTCTTGTAGTCCCAGACATCTGTTGGAAAAGGACAAAAGTTTACATAAAACTTTGAGGTACAGAAATATCTGTGGACTGTGACTTTATCTTGTCCTTTAAATGAATCTATTTATAGATCACAATGCTAGAAATCATACTATAGTTTGTAGTAGTTTTCCTCACCTTCACCATTGTTGACACTGGATGAATCCTGGATAGATTTTTCAACATGGATTCAATGAGATCAGCCACACTTAATCCAATGGCCCAGTTGGTGTATCCTTTTAGCTTAATGACTTCATAGGCACTAAGGAAAAAATAAATCATAAAAAAGATAATCGAAATCAGACTGAGCAGTTATTGAAACCAGACTTATTGAAACACTTATTGAAGGCTTATCAATAACGTGTGTGCATATATATGTGTATGCTTTTACTTTTAACAAAAAGTCTATCACCATATGACTTTACAGAGAAAAATACTGAGATTCATCTTAAAGGTTAAATGGCTTCCCTAAGACTATATATTTAGTAAGTGTTGGTGCCATGATTTGAATCCAAGCCCATATTCTTTACTTTGGTCCAAAATGACACATTTCTTGGTAAGCATGAAGGACATAGGGAGAATGGTGGATAACAAAAGAGACAGCTTCAGAAAGAAAAAAAAAAGGTGGGGGGACGTCATTAGTTGAGTGTGGAAAGGTAAATACAGAACATCTTAAACACTTTCAGCCATCAGTCAGCAAGTACTTATTTTAGGAGATTATGAGACTAATAGCATCTAGGTTTACCCTTCTAGATACATCAACTTTACTTGTTGATAGGAGGCAATCTGAAGGCCCTTCTCACCTGTTCATTACGTGTTTTGCTTCTGTTACCTCTACAACACTTTCTCCGGAAAGAAAGTATTTGCTTTCCCTAGGGTGACTGGCACAGCCAGTCTGACCAGTATACCTCTGTCTTGCCTATTTCAAAAGCTAACAGTTGCACACTTACTACAGAGGTTATCTGAGCAGGCAGCCATGAAAGTTGTTTATAATCTGATGTAATTAAAGATGAAACTAATCATCTTAAATCAAGCTCCTTTCCACTTACCTTTCAACCACCATTTTATGCACTTCCTTCCAGTTCTCACTATCATTGTCGGTTCCCATTTCTGGATTCAGTTCCTGGAGAGAAACACCTGCCACGTTCACTCCACTCCATACAGCCACTGTAAGAAAAGGACAAATGTTCTAGACATTTCTGACATTTTAAAAAAAAAAAATCTTTTCTTCTCTTAGAGTTCTTATTTCACCACTGATGTGAGTTACTGAATACCAACTGGAACTACTCAAATGACCAGTGACCCCCGACAGGCTGACATTTGCCTTCAAATGACAACACATGGTGCAAAACAGAATCGCTGTGTTAGTTACAGAGAACATAAAATTCTTTGCCTCTCTCTAGGTTTGTGAAATCATAGGTTGGGACTATCCTAAATTTTTGGTTTGAGAATCTTTAACTTTCCTACTCCTTCTTTTTCTACTATAAGCCCTTTTCCTCTAGAGGGAAGTAAAAAAAAAAAAAATCCTAAGATAAGACCCAAATACAGTAAAGTTATACCCCAGAACAGTAAAATTATGGAAGTACAATAAACTATAAATAAGGGCACACTTAATTTAGGAGAGAAGAGTGTCATTAAGGGCTACAAAAAAAACAGGCATTTGAAATGAACCTTGAAATCTAAGTTATGTGTTCCTTAGGGACCTGTGAAAGAGAACATTGTAGACTCAGGAAATGTGAGCAAAGGTGTGGGGTAAAGTCTAGAATAGCTAAAGCAGCTATGAAGGGCAAAGCTGCTCATGGCCAAACAAGACCCCCTCTTAGTCCACAACTTCTGCCATTTCAGGCTGATTGGGCATTTTCATCAATTCATCTTTGATGAAAACTACAAAATCTGCACAATCATGCCCATGTGAGCATGGTTTAATTATCTTCCATTTCAGGTAGATAATACAGACCAATATGAAAATTAAAATGAACCAGATTTTGGGGAAAATGACACAGTAATGAGAGACCAGAACATTGGACAAGAGTGAACAGAACGTTGGTCATGAGTCAGAAGATATAATGCTAGTTGCAGATACACCACTCACGTGCTAAAGGATCTCCAATAAGCCACTTCACTTTGCCTTAAGTTTTTCCTCATTAAAATTCAAGTCTTGAACTACAGGACTTGTAACATCACTTCCAGATCTATGGATCTAGAAATTGTGTAACTGTAACAAGTAACATTAATTGAACTTTAACTGTACACCTAGACACTGTAGGTATCTAGACACTGTACTAGATATTTTTTACATAGGACATAGGTACCAAAATTACAGTGTCCTTATTTGATACATGAGAAAACTGAAGTTCAGAGAAGTTAAGAACTTGCCAAAGTCACACATCTTATTAAGATGGCAGAACAGAGCTCAAAACCATTGTCTAACTAAAAACTTTCAAGGCTCAGATTAATCTGATCAAGAGGGAAACACAAGACTATTACAATTTGACCAGGCAAAACTGTACACAAATGCTTGTATATATGAAGAAGTCTTGAATGAAGTGGTACAATGTGCCAGAAAAAAAAAAAAAATCAGCATTATTATACAGGAAAGCACAAATAAAGTACACAATAAGTGTAAGAACAAATTTTTATAACACCAAGGTAAAATCTTTACTAAAATCACATTTCAAACTCTCACTGATTTCAAAGGAAAATTTACACCTTGCCCTTTTAGGGAGAAAAATAGCTCTTTGCAAACAGGGCAGAAATAAATTTAGTAAAATAAACATTACTTATCATCATTAAAATGTTTTGGATTATTACAGTTTTATTATTTCATTATTTTATTATTATTACATTTTTATAGCATGAACCTATTTAATATGTTTAGTTTAATAAAGAGGTTTGGATTTATGAAATAAAATCAAATATTCAAGAAAAAATTGTTTGAAACATAAATATTAATTTAAATTAAAAAAATCAATTTAAAATAAAACATGTATAATAAATGGTTTTTAACGTCTTAAAACAAAACACTAAAAAAAGAAGAATATAATTTTAATGTTGCTTTTTTATAATGACTAATTTTTTAGTAATTCTATGTAGCTTTATTTCTTCCCCCATAATGACAAATTTATATCCAACAATTTCTTACTTCTACTTAAATTGCTGAAGAAAGTACTTGAGTTTTTCCATATACTCTTTCACTACTTAAATGTCTCATACTTATGATTAATGGTTTATTAAGAGTAATACTTCATTTGAAGCAAGATTTATTTTACTTTATAGAATAGTGGACATAAGTTATTTAAAAGCTTCTGTTACCCAATTCATTGCTCTTTCAATAAACACAATGAATATAGCAGCTCTGTCTGGTGAGAGGCCTACATGCAAAGACACACCAGCAGCTTGAGCACACCCATGCCCAACTCTTGATTTCTAACTACCATTCCCCACTGAAAGGAAACAGGGCTCACTGGAGAAGCAAATGATGGTAGTGCTGGGAAAGGGCAATTCAAGATGTGCCTGCTGCCACTTACTGTGCCAGAAATAACAAAGAGCTCAGAAGTGATGGACATGTAAAAAAAAGACACAAGAGCCAGCTTGAAAAGCCTGTGGTTGACAAATCTGGGGCAATTTGAGCATTACAAGTAATAGTGACAGCGTATTTGTGGCATAATATAAAATTCTGAGTCCATATTGATAGAAATAAATGAATAAATAAGTGGGGGAAGAAGGGAAAGCGCTCCCTTACAGTAGAATACAACTAACAAAAGTAGAAATGATGGAATTAGAATATTATGTTCAACAGCTATCACAGTGATAATTTATTCAACCAAGAATCATTAATGGATGCTCAACTTAGCTGGCACAAAGTTGATGAGGAATTAGATATTCACTTAGTCAGTATAAAATCATCCTCCCACAAACTGCCTCTTATTAATTACTAAAGGAAAGTAGAAACTCCACATTGATTAACTTAGCAAATACAACCTTAACTGAGTAATCACAGTTAACATCGCCAATACTGGGACCCACTGACACTGTGTGCCTTCTGACATGATTCTGTGAGAAGGCCACAATGTCACTTATGTGGTATTTGTGCCAAAAGTACATAAGCTCAACATAATCATGAGGAAACAATCAGACAAATCTAAATTGACAGACATTCCACAAAACTACTCACCCAACTTTTCAAAAATGTTAAGACCATGAAAACAAAGACAGACTGAGGAATAAGTCCAGACACTTAGGAAACCAAGGAGATACAAGCAGACGTAATATAAACTACTCACCCAACTTTTCAAAAATGTTAAGACCATGAAAACAAAGACAGACTGAGGAATTAGTCCAGACACTTAGGAAACCAAGGAGATACAAGCAGATGTAATACGTGATTCTAGAATGGATCCTGAATTAGGACAAAGGCTTTAGAGGACATTATTAAGCTAGTTGGTGACATTTAAATATGGACTCTGGATTAGATGATATGGTATCAATGTTACATTTCCTGATTCTGATAAGTGTACTGTGGTTACAAAGAAGAAAATCCTTTAGTTAAATCTAAAGAATCTATGGTGAAAAGGGCAGGATGACTGGGATTTACACTTGAAGGAACAAGGAAAAGATAGATAGATAGACAAGAGAAAGAGAGTAAATGATAAAGCAAATGGGAATAAAATACGAGAATTAATTGTACTATTTTTGCAACTTTTCTGAAATACACTAAAATATATCAAAATAAAATTTAAAATCAAAAAATTCAGAATGGTAAGACCAATACCGTAAGAATATAGTAAATATTTTTTATTTATTTTTTTTTACCACTGGAGTCGCCATGTTCTCCCAAAATCCATCCATGACAGCTGCTGGGGTGAATGCCAAGTTTTTCGGCCATAAGATAGCGAAATCTAGCAGAATCCAGATTACACCCACTTCCAATCACTCGGTGCTTGGGTAATCCACTGAGCTTCCAGGTAACATATGTAAGGATGTCCACTAAAAATTTTCCAAGAAATATATGTAAGTAAATCAAAATTGACTTCAACTGTTACGTCAATTAGTGGACGTCCTGGCTTCCCCACCCCCACTTCCCCATTCTCCAAATGAGATGTGGCTAGAAAGATGTAAAAAACTTCTCACAGTTAGAGATAACAGGGGTAAGAGAGATAAGAACAAACTTTTAGGCCTTACAGAGAGATTCTAAAACATGAAAAATGTAATACTGTGCTTTTATAATTATATTATTACTTAAAATAAGAATACATAAGAACCTTCAGATTAATGTACTTTAAAAGAGAAAAAGGGTTAAATCACATCCTCACTTAAGTTTCCACCAATTCTAACATTCCATAATTGTAATGACTGTCATCATAACCCCAAAAGCCACTGATTAATAAATTACTAAGCCATGCTACTATAAATTTTCCTGGGCATGTGATATTAATCAGTTAACTATTGAGATAATACACAGTATTAAAATTATCGACTATTTAATAAAAGAACATTATGACAGAACCTTTGTTCCAGTGTGGCACAGTCTCAAAACTGCAGAGGTAAAACTTTTGCTGGTCCAAACAGGATTACAGCACTTTTACAGGCTAAGCTGTAAAAAGTAGAAAAATGTGCACACAAGGAAGGCAAAGAGCTGGAAGTTAATCCTGCAATCTTCACTTCCACAGTCATCTCTAGACACTGGCTAAAATATATGAAGGACATTTTGGACTAGACAGCTCTTCCTTGCCAACTTTGATTCAGTGGAAGCAACTCCCTGAAGAATTAGATGTTGCAGCTCTTCCTGGACAGTCATGTAATCAGTCACTGATATCTGCCTGCCTGCTAGCGATTGTCATTCCTGTTCTACATCTACTGCCTACACACATATTTATGAGAAGTTTATATACTTGCATATAAACTTATAAACTTCAGTTAATCTCAGTCTCGGTTTGCAGAGAATAATACTAAAATAATCTATCCTTGTTGGTTCCCAACTTTTAATATTCAATAACTGTAAGGATTCCCTGGCTCTTAATCATAATCTTTCTCTATGTGAAGTATCAGAGATCATCAATTTTAACCATTTTATTAATGTATATACTATGCTCACCAACATGCAGTAAATTTGGTGGCAAAGTAGTGAGAAGTACAGTGACTTTTAACTGTTTAGGCTAAATAAATAGCATTCTTTATAGTCAGAAGTTTTAATGTTTATTCTGCAGATGTTGATTTAGAAAGGAAAGCAGTTTTTAAATCACGACTTTTGGTGTTCACATATATTTGTCCATTGATAGTCTATTTCTATCTTTAAAACAGAATTGATTAATGGTTTTCTTAAATTCTTTTCAAATTCCATCTGATTCAATTCTAAAGAATTTTAAAGATAAAGACACTAGAATGGATTTTCCGGAGAATAGAAGGTTAAGTATGTTAAAATGTTTCTTACAAATTGAAGCCACATTCAAATGTTTCATTCTGCATACCAGAATAATCTATAGAAGACTTTAAAAGCCTTTGGACTCTACAACAAACCCAGATGAAACAAAAAAATGAAATTGCATTGCATAAAACATTTCTCTCATTTTTTATCATTTGGCCTGAGACAGCGCCATTTGTTTTGCAAACACCATTCCTTTGTCACCAATAGCAGAAGACA